GTTGTTATTGTTTGTTTGTTTTTTCTTTAAATACTGTTATATTTTAAGTTTGCTACTCTGGATAGCACAGCAGTTAATGTAACACTTTGCATTATTTTAGGAAGTGGAGCCTTTTCTCCCACCCTGCCACACTTTCCCAGTTTAGAGAAGACTTAAAACCGGAAATTTAAAATTATTTCACAGGACAAGCTGGTATTCTGACATGGACACGTTGTCACAGAAACCTGATGCAGTTAGAGGAAAGACAGAAAACTCTCCAGGGCAAAGCTGTGGTGTCACGTCACGTTTGCTTCACAGGTACCTTCAGAGCACAGAAACTCTCAGAGTGTATGGATGAACTCAATTTTGCTGGAGTTTTTTGGGAATTCACTTTTTTTTCTAGATCCCAGTAAGAACAGAAATCAGCTGAGAACAGAAATCATTTGTACAAAACAACAAATCAGAGGTTGCAGATCTGCAGTAAATGGAGACCAACTCGTATTAAGGACAGGACTTTTTGCTAAACAGTCACAATTGCTGCTAAATACATTGTACTCAAGGGTCAAATGGGTGGGTTTATTTGTTCTGAGCTTTGTTTTTGATGTTCCTCTGTATCCTCTGTCCATGATCTGGCAATGTATGAAAGGAAATGGAAAGCTTTTTCATTTTTTTTTTTTAACTGCCTTCAAGTCAAGCCTAACAAGCTAAAGGGAGTAGATGCTATTGGTGCTCCTGATGTAAAATCTTCCGTAAGACCAAAAATAAGTCTCAGAAGGTACAGTACTGATAGTAGAAGTTTTTTAAATTACTTGCTAAACAGGAGGAAAACCCTCTCTCCAAATATCCTAGGGGCTGTCCACTTCAACACCCCAACCTGGTCCTGGCCACAGGGGAATGCCCAGAGGGGTCTCAGGTGGTCCTTGGCCACTGCAGTCAAGTTTATTATGAACACACGTGCCAACATCACAAGGCTACACAACTACAGTCATTACTTCCAAGGGGCATAATTTCAGTGGAGAGATCCAACTGATTTATCAGCTCTAGCTGGGATGCAGGGCCGAGCAGCGGATAAAAGACCGGAAGAGAGAGACCAGATCGTGAAGATGACGAGCATTGAAACAAAGAGACTGCACACCTACTGTAAGCAATCATTTAAATAAAACTGCCGACAGCTTTGTAGGATGGACAGAACAGGATTATTTTCCTCGTCCCCAAATGCCACTGTGGTAAGCGTCACTTGCTGCCGTGGTGATACGCCAGGCTCCCATTTTTTCCCCGTCCGCTTCAATCCATCTCAGGAGCGCAGCTCTGTGTACAGGCCGGAGCAGCAGCCCTGCTCAGGGCCAGCAGGAGGGCGAGCTCCCACCCGCTGTCCGTCCGGGCTCCCCCGTCACGCAGATGTTGAACACGACCCCGATGCGCAGGAAGAACTTCCTGAGCACGGCGCGGAGCTCGGGGATCAGGTCGAACTGCATGAGCTCGCACAGGTACGGGTAGTAGGTGGCCGCGTGCGCCCGGAACTGCCCAACACACAAACCACAGCGTTATTCTCCGTCGCCACGGGGACACACGGAGGTTTTCCACGCTCACAGCTACACCAGTGTGGTGGCACACCAGGCATTACTCCTGCCATCACTGTCAGGGAACTGGAATTCCAGTTTCACAGTGGTGAGATTCCCTCCCCCATTCCCACGCAGCTGTAACACGGCACAAGCCCATCCGTTACTGCACAGTCACTGTGCTTCTACATGAAAGCTCTTCAGTAATTCTATCCCCATTCCCACACAGCTGAGGATTTCTGGGATGCAGCCCCATTCCCAAATGCTGACTGCCTGCACACAGCAGGGCTGCCACTGCTCTGCTGTGAGGAGAGCACTCACCACGAGGAACTGCCACTTCCAGCATGGATAGGACTGGAGACTGAACTCAGACTGAAGCAGGAACAAAAAAAAAAAATACCTGAACACAAACAGACATGACTTCCAGCTCCTTCTTACCTTGTCATCACTGATTTTTAGTGTTTTTGTTAAGAGCAACAGCAGGAGATTGGTCCAGGCTTCTCTGTGGCTTTCTGAGTTGACAGTAATAAAATATGCCAGGGCTTCACTGCACACACTGGAGAGAGGGCACAGTTCACACAAACCATAAAGAAAACACTTATAAAGTTTTTTATAACATGCAGTTTATCCTCTCAGTGTATCTTGTTTTCAAGCAAGATGCACTTCAATGGTAAAGTTTTTAATCACACGCAACAACTTTAACTACATAAATTTGTTTTGTCTGTTCTGTTACAGGAGTTGCTCCAGATAGCTAAAAATACTTTTCATGTTGGCAACAGAGAATCATGGAGACAGAGACAGAAAAGCCTGATTTGCCCAATAAACATTTTGTAATTGAAGTGCTGTCACCTTCAACCTGCAAACACTATTTCCTGACCCTCATATTGGGACAGCTGAAGCAACAGCACCGTGGGAGAGCTCTCTCTCCAAATCTAGGCTGGTTGAATAAAGATCTGCAGAGCTCAGCGTCACAGATTACAGAGGAATTATTATTGTATTAATACATTTTTTGTCTCTGCTGCAGACAGTAAACACAAGGTACAAACTGTACCACTTACTATGGCTATTTTAGGACACTCTTAATTAAAGAAGGAATGAAATCTTCCCTTTTACACGCTAAGCAGATTAACATGTCCACAGATGCTGGTAGATCAGAATCCACTGCATTACTGCCAATAGCAGGTTTGGAAGATCTTCATATTTGATCAGAGATCAGTAATTTGAACTTTTATGTACCAACAACCCATCCAAATACCTTTTCATATTTATTTAGCATGATTTTCTACATTTGTTTAAATTCCAGGTATGCAGCAGCTTATACTGCATTCTTTTTAGATTACTGTATCCTATTATACCTCTGACTATCACTGTGGACTCGGGTGGGAAACATATTCAGACACCATCACTTCTATAAAGAAAAGCCTATGCCAGGCAAGAAGGTGCTTCCTTTGTTCAGGCAGATTGCTTCCTTGCTGCTAAATTAATTAATAGTGGCTCTATCTGTCTATCCATGGTCATCTTTGCAGACTGAGCCCCTTATCCCCGTGCTGGGTTGTGGTGGCTGAGGGGGAACACCCCTTGTCCCCAGGCTCTCCTACCTGAGCAGTCGCTGCTGAACCACATCCCAGGAGTCCCGCCGGCTTTCATCCACGTACATCCGGAACAGGATCCTCAAGCAGCACGCCAAGCTGCTGGTCTCTTGTTTTAAGAGATTGGGTTTTGATTTACCCTTGAACCCTAGAGATCAATCCCACAGAAGAAGAGAGGGAACATTCACATTTGGAGTTACTGGCCAAAAATAAAGTTTATCCTCACTACCTGCATTAGTGACTAGTAACAGTTTCTTTTCCAGATAGTATTTATTGCCTCCTCTTTGATTTTGATTGAGACCTGATCTATTTATAAGGACATTTTACTACAGCAGTACTAGCTGTGTAGCTCTACTTTAATCAAACAAAGCAGATAATTTAGCAAACAAAAGCATGCAACCTTCAGCTGAACCACAGAGGTTATTGCAAGTCACACTCTTGTGTTGCAATAGTTAAAGCTGAAGTGGAGCTCAGCATTTTTATCAAATAAAAACAAAAGCCTCACCTGCTCTCCATAACACAGTTCGCTGCTCGTAATTTGAGTTAAAGGCTTTTGAAAATGAATGAGACTCTTGCAGACAATCCAGTAACTTGAAGAGGTGATGAGAAGACATGTGTTTGTACATTCCCTGGTCCTCCGTGTCAATGTGGATATCTGCATCCAGCGCGTCTCGCTAAGGGGCAGGGGAGAGAGAGCACATGCCATGACCCACACCAACTCCAAATCTCATTTAAAAAAGGAAGAGACTATTTTGAAAATACACATCAGAGCATTCCATAGTTTGTATTTTACTGCCACAACAAGGTCACAGATAAGTCTGATGGTACCTGAGCTGCAGCCATGTGCTCAGCATCCTCCTTCTTGCTTGTTGCTGGATAGAACACTATGTTATCAATGGTCTGTATCAACTCCAGCTGCACCACACACTTGATAAGGAGGCCAGCAAACAGTTTCTGGTCTAATGAAATGGAGCAACACAAGTTTCAGAAGCAACTCACACCACTTCACTTACAACAGGCTAACAAAACAGGACACTGCCGTTAGCATTTTGATAGTTAGTGATGCTGTCAATTATCTTCTAAAGAGAAAATCTCTCTGCAGAGCATAAGCACAAGCTGCAAAGATGAACCCCAAGTTTAACTGCCCCAAAACTTTCTGTACAGAACTACAGAAGTGAACTAAGACTGGCTATAAAAATGCATTGAAAAAAAGCTTGTCCGTTCTCCTTACTTGTATAAGGACCACCTTTCCAGCTCTCATCTGTTGGATTTGAATATTGACTTTGTCCTCTTTCAGAAGCATTTTTATCCATGCTGCTTAAAGACTGATGATCTAGGTCCAAATCCTAGAAGAGAATGCAGAGCAATTCCAGCAATCCAAAACACTAACCCTCAACCAGCTACCCGTTTTTAGATGACTTCACTCATCTTTGATTCAAAGGCTTCCTGAATCCATTCTTTACATCCCTTTTTTACAATGACACCAAATACTGCCAATTCCTTGCCCAGTGTATTTGACTACAAAAGCTGACCTAACACAAACCCTTTAAAGAAGTCAGTTTATTGCCCTGAATTAACTCTTACCAAGTGTTTTTCAGCTGAATCTTCCTCCATTCCCACAGGCCTCCACGTCAGCAAGCTTCACAGAGCAAAAAAACCAAACAAACAAGGTAAATATTGTTGCTCTGGAATTGGGTATTAGTCTAAGAATCAAATTTATGAACTTACACGTGAGGAATAGTTGTTTTGAAGATTTCTAGCATACAATTGCACGTCTGGCCCCAGACTTCAGGGCTGAATTTCTGTCCATTGAGTATTACCAGGTTTTCCAGGCAGTTTGTACCGGATCGTGCCAACTGCTCATTCTCTGTGAAAAGAAACATTCCATATTTACCAACATCTACAATATCAGTGAAAAATTAGGCATTCCCTACTACTGCTCCATTAACAATTTATACCAGCACTGTGAAATGCATGGTGTCTTGGCTCAAAGCCTACCTGTAAAGCATGTTACAACAATATCAAGCTGAAGAACCTACTGAATAAAAAATAGTTTCAACCTTCACAAGATGGAAATCCTACCGGGGAAGACAAAGGAAAGGACAGAAGCAGAAAGGAAGCACACAGTGAGAGACAAAGGAAGGAAAAGCAGCAATTATAAACTTATGGTTTCCTGCAAGATCATCCCCCCAGATTCCATGCTGCCAACATGCAGGATTTCAGGTGTAGGAGTTGGAGCCTGAAAGAAAACATGTTCTTCAGGAAGTTGTATTTGAAAGCACTTGATGGGTGGGAGAAGGGGGGAAAGGTACAATGAGAAAAAAGGAAAAAAGAAAAAAACCCAGAATGTATGGAAATACCTATGTGTATAAATAAAGGAGTTAACATATCCCTGCAGTCAAACTGAGAAAGTTGTTGGCAGAAGGCTCAGAAGATAAACATAACCCTCCAAAAGCCTTTCCTGTGTCACAGTAACATCACAAGCACATTATGACCACAGTAACAGAAGAGCTGCCTAACTCATTAAATAGGTTGGGGCTCAAATATTCAAGATATTTCATCATGCATAACACTTTGCCCCCAACGGTAGCTTCTATTCTTCCCAAATTCAGGTACCTTTTCCCCTCCTTGAATAGTGAACATTTAGAAATAGATTTAATCAAGAGATACAAGTAAATAAGGTACCTTGTTTTACACACCAGTGTAGCTGTGCCAGTATGTCAGGAAGGAGGATCTCGTGCAAAGCCTCGTAGAACTGGGTGAACACGTCGCAGATGGCATAGAGAGCGTGGTTGCACGTCGTGGTCATCCACTCGGATTTCTGGGGGAGAGAACGGAAAACCTTTGGGTTTATGTGGGATCCTCCATGATGACTTGGCTTATACCTGGCTGCTCAACCAAAGACTCGGCCTCTGAGGGGAGGAGGAGAACCCAGATAAAACTAAAGCCTCATGACTGCAGGTGTCTTGTCAGAAGCTCTTAGGTGGCCTCATGAGCACAGCTCAGAAAACTGCACATGTTCACAACAGAGAACACTCCCCTTGAAAATAATCAGACAGAACACAAAGAGAGGTCACTGGACACTGTGACAAGTTTCATTCACGCCACAGAACTCGACAGAACACAAAACGTGTCGTAAAGGCTGGGGCACTACGGGGTGGCAATACACTGACAAGACAAACCATACAAACTGCTGTCTTGGTTGTGTGAGTCCTTAAAAGCACAACTCTAAAAAGTGCTTGCTTTGAGGTTTTTTTTTGGTTTTACCTCTGTTTGTTGTTCAGGGAGTTTCATATTATCAAAAATCCGAAACACAATTCTGAACAGATCTTGCCACCAGTGCTTTTCAAAGGTATGCCCGTAACTCTTCATGATTTCAAACATCACCGTTAAGCCTCTACAAACAAACCCAAACAATTAAAGGAACAGCTGTTACAATGAGTTCCAATGATGTCTTTACTAACTGAATTTAAAAAAAAAAATAAATGGAAAAAGATAAAAGCTTTATTACCTTGTCCGAACATCTAATTTGCAACGATTGATGATACAAGAAAGTTCAAATAAAATGGGAAACCATCCTCTGACCCATACTCTGTCTCCGGGAGCCACATTCATGTCATCGCTTGTGTATTCTCTTAAAACCTTCAAGATGGGCAGGAAAAAAGAAGTTTTAAAAGCAACAATCTTAAAAGATCTTTAAATGTGACAGATTTAGATATTAGTAGTGGCACAGACAGACTCGGAAAGTTAGCTTAGTTCCGACTGCAACTCTCGAATCCTGTAAAATATAAATGTAACTATTTGCAAATATACTGGAAAAATATATGAAAATAAACACTTCAATCTGTTTTACTTCAGTCCAGCTAAAGGCCTTACAAGTTATCTTTAACCAGGATAGACAACTGTCATATAAATATAGGTAACAAGGAAATCTAAAATTGGCAGAAACCAGTTCTACACTTCTCTGACATCCTGAATGCAACTGCAATGAACTCCAGGGTCTCTTCAGCCAAGTGATTATTATATTCAGCATTCACACAATAGACTGATGTAAAAAAATATGCAAGTTTGTAACCAATTAAACTAGGCAGAATTAGGGTGACAGAACAAGAGGTATTGCTTTTCAGGCCATCCTAACACTACAAAAACACCAAAAAAACAAACAAGGACCACTTCATTCAGTTACTTCCAATCTGGACTTATAAGACTTCACATTTTTTAATTAGCCCTTGTTTACTGCTTACATAATACCAAAATTACTCCTACGTCCGAATAAGCTTTTAATACAAACACTTGCAGTTGAAGTTTAAGTCTGAAAGCTCACTCTTGGAAATAAGATTAGTCTCTGTTTACCAGTAGAAGAGAGAGTGAGAATGCACAAGGGTAACAATTCCAGTATACCTGTGGTCTCTCTGAGACGTATTTTGCACAGTAGCGAATAAGCCTGATGGCCTCCATGCTGGTGTCCGGGAAGGCAACGTTACAGGCAAACTCAGAGAGGCATTTTACTGCATCCTGAAATGAGTCAATTGCTGCTGGAAAATGCTGCTGGAAAATATTTGCTGTAAAGAACAAACAAATGCACATCTTAAAATTTAGTTGTATTGAAATCCATAGATAAATTGCACTGATATAGACATGACAACCATGGTACACACTACAGGATAAACCTGTAAGAAAGACCAGATCTTCTACATTTAATGTGGTTCTTTGCCTTCTCTTGCATTCTTCCCAATCCCACCCCACCAACTGCATTCCAAAGTTCTACAGCACAATATCTGTATCTAGTTTTTCCTGTTCATAGCAAATGTGAAACTTAAAGGGCATGACCCAGCTGCAGAGTTAAACAATCTGGCTGCAAGTTCTTGTGTTTATTTGCCTGGAAATGCAACTGGCTTATTCAGGTGAGCCCTTTAAAGCAGCCTCACAGCAGCAAAGGTAATTTGGGTACTTGAATCTGTCAAGCACTACTTACTAACTATGTGTGCTGTAGTCTGGAAGGCCAGCTCCACGATATTCCCATCGTGGTCTGATGCTGCTTGATGAAAGACTGCAAAGATATTTTTCCAGCCTGAACGAATGTTCCCAGCTTGAGAGTTCACCATCTGAGCAATGCAGCGTATCACCATGTCCCGAATAGTCGGAGATCTTCAAAGAAATACAAAGGAAAGCAAGGCTTAACACTGGCACAAAGCAACTGCCCCACTTCCAGCACTCAACCACCTGACCCACACCCAGTGACAGCCTTAAGCAGGACTAAGGAAAGACAAAGCACAGGTTGCAGTGCCTCACACCTGTTTTTCTTCATAATATGCTCAAAAGGCCTTAGGAAGTCCTTCTGGAAGCGGAAGTTGGCCAACTCTCCCTTCTCAAGAAACTTCATTGACAGCTGCCTTAATGAGTCTACGGCAAAGATGGCGACATCTTCATTAGGGTTACACCCAACCTAGGAGAAAAGCATAGTTTCAAACACTTATCAGCTCATGTATCACTTATATGAGTAACAGAGCCATCATTCCAGTTCCATCTCAGCCCCCTAAAAATCACTGGCACTTTCTAGTGTTCAGATATTTAGGAAATAGGAGGTTCCTCTTTGAAGGAGATTTTCTGTGATTTGATCCATCTAAACAGACCTGTGGATTTTGTATACAACAATGCAGAACTATAATAGCCAGCTAGATGCTAAAAAATAATAAAATAAAAATTTTAGGTTAAAAAAATCCTACCCAAACATGGTTTGGTTGCCAGGGAAAACAACTGTTGTTCCAGGATCATCTGAGCACATTTTAGAGGAAACTAACTCAGCATTTGTTCAGAAAGACAAGACAAAGAAAAATTACAAATACAAAATGACAAGTGATTAAAGATCATTACCAGAAACGTGTCCATTTCTATTTATACACTTTAGATTTTTAAATAGGTGCTTCCTGTAGGTGCCTTGAATGGAACTTTTTTTTTTTTTCAGTATCACAGCTTAAGCCATAAAGGACACAGAAGGAAAAAGCTGATTAAAGAAATCCTACTATTCATGTACGTTCTGTAACTCGATTTTAACAATTACCTTATTGAAGTGATCTCCAATCACGTGCCAGATCCTGGACCACTGCAGCCTGATGCGGTTCATGTTGTAATAGGAGATCTCCACGATCTTCTGCAGGCTGAACATGCGAGGGTGGTGCGGGGAAGCCAGTTCGTCCATGGACACGGCACAGAGCCACCGCACAAAGTCCACTGCACAGGAGAGGCCTGCTGTGAGCCCAGGGGTTCCACTGCAGGGCCCCTGTGACCCCCTGCTGGTCACTACGTACCTATGGCGTTCCCATCCAGCCGGGTCGAGCCTGTAAATATCCTACGGAACAAAGAAACGAGTTGGAGTTTCAGCTGCGCGCCCACAAGAGTCAAACACATCCTAGTGTTATAGAAAGAGGTCAGCACATCTCCTGGGGGTACTTCACAATCCCCCATGCCATGAACTCTGCAACTGTTTTATTCATACTCCTTGGCAGCAGTTTATGCCCTTCCCCTTACTCTCAACATTCTCTTCCCCGCTCCAAGTCACAGTGTCCTGTGCTCATGTTCTGCTGCAGGAACAGGCACAGGCTCACCATTTTATCCAGAGCAAGTAATGCTGCAACACTCATTTGGGTGACAGCATGTTAAATTTCACGGGGGCAATAAAAAGACATTAAGAAAGTTTTGCTGCAAGACTTGGATGCCAGCCACCTGCTGGATCTTAACAAGGTCTGGGAATACGGTCAGCAGTGGCTGTCAAAACAGACTGAAGGAAGACTAAGGTTGTCCCTTCTCCCCCTTCAGCTGTTCAGTTTCAAGAGGAGTTCAGACCACTGAGAGTGGTCCCAAATCTTTTGGACTTTGATGTGGTAACAGACACATTTGTTAGAATAAATGCTGCAAGCCCACATGTGTAACTCTACAGACTCGCACAAGAATTTCAGTAGTTATTAAGAAGTCCAGTTCCAACACAAGCACATCTTTAGACAACACTTCAGAAGGGAGTCAACAAAGATAACGATTTAGAAAAGAGTGCAGAGGTTACATTCTCAGTACCTGTCTACTGCCACCACCACGCTCTGGGAGCTGGTCTCCCCCACGGACTCCTGGATGCTCGCCATGTGCCGTTTATCAGCCCCACTCCCAACCAGGTTCCCTTCAATAAAAGCCATTAAAAATCTGCATTTAGCGTCATGAAATCGTGACTTGATATTAACCCCAACATTAAACAAGTAGACAAAGAGAAGTGACTACTGCTTCCAGTTACCATGTCATTTATAGGAAGCAGATGGTGCCCTTGCCAGGTCTGTGCCAGATAAGGTTAAACATCATGTTTATTAAGTAAAGATGATAATGATGATAATGATGCTGTTAATAAAACTGGAAATCATAAAATATTCTTTTAAAATAGGAATTATAAGTCAGCTACAAGTAGTTAATGCCAGGGACAGTTCTGTATTCATCATCATCATCACATATATCATCTACTGCAGAGTATTTTCAAATTAAAATGTTTCCTTAATGGTTTTCCAAAGATTAAGGCAACCTGCCTTGTCCCTTTAATTTACAGCCTAGAATCTAAGGTTTGTTGTTTCTGCAGTATGTGCAAGAAACAAGAACGGGAACAGCAAGCCCAACATGCAGAGATCAGAAATTCCTTCAGAAAACCAATTATCAATCATTGAAACATCTATTGATTCCTAAAGATAAATGGCTTACTATTAAAAACTGAGCATAAAAAGAAATAACTGATAATACTTGTAACAAAACCATGACATAGTGTGGTAAAACAGTTTTGAAAACAGTACATTCCAACAAATAAATCTGGAGGAGTTGTTAAATAGTTTAATCCAATTCCAAAGTTGGAGCAGATTTGGCAATTATAAACACATCTTGAAATACATACTTGCTTGCCTTTTTTCTTTTTTTTTTTTTTTTTTAAGGTTCATTAATCCAATACAGCTTCCTCTGGAAGTAAGTAAATATATTTGAATATCTTGTAACACTGAGTATTCTTAGCCATCCTACTTCATTGACATGTGCACCTTTGTGAAGTCCAGGATTAATCATCTTACCTAATCCCAGGCCCATAAACTCCTCCCCTGCAGAGGCATAGCCCTTAATGCTGCCTTCCCTCTCACGCCCAGAGCCAGACAAATACCGAGTTTTCACGCCAGTTCCTATGAGCTGGGCCAGTTCCAGCTGGCTAATACATTTCAAGATCTACAACCAAAAGAAATTAAACATTGTGTTTTTGGACACCACCATATTTTCATTCCTAGTAGACATATATATTTAATATTTATAACCTTTCCAGGTTCTCCAACCTTTAGAACAACTTTGACCCGACAACAGCTTTGACGTAGCTGAAATGTTACCAATAAAACTGAAAATTAGGTTGAGTAATTCATTTAAGATCAGCCACCATGAATCATTCCAGTACAAGAATAAAATAAACAGTGCCCAAAAATCTAACTTGGACCCCTAACTACTACAGGAAACCTTTTTATTACTTCTCACAGCATTAAGACTATAAACAACTTGGAGCTGATCTTCTAGAGACTTCAATGTCCATCATTCACCTCCAGAGAGATGAACAGACTAGAACCATTGCAGCCATCACCACTTAAAGTAATGATGGTCCAACCTAGACAGCATAAATGCTCATGCTGTCAATCAGCCATCAGCACAAAATTCCCCATCTTTTCCCTCCTCCTCCCTGCCCCCACCACATCTTTGGCCTGGCACAGGCACTTGGCAGGGTGCGCTCTGAGCCAGGTCCGAGGCACTGTCAGCTGTAGCACCTTTTGGCTCGTACCACGTAGCCCAAGACTGGTGCCAGAGAACATCATGCAGCAGGAATGCCCCTTTCAGCAGCAGCACACATTTAGAGCTCATTAAAGCCTATTTTCCAGGAGCTCTTTAAAAATACCTATGATGCTGAGAGCCTCTCCTTACCTATCCCCAACCAAATTACTTCAGTCCTAATTTTTCATGCTCTTAGGAGTAATGTTGTCAAACACTGCACACAGACCTGTGAACTAGAATATTTTTGTTTCCATGAACAAGAATACAGTAGCTGATGTGCAGAATTCTCTGGAGCCAATTAACATTTTTAATATTTTTTTAACTTCATATCAAACACACCCTCAAAAATTACTGTATTGTCACACAATCTCTACAGGGTCTTTCAGAAAAACAGCAGTGCATTATTTTTTATATGTGTGTGTGTGTGTATATGCACAAACATTTATATCAAAAATCCCACTAACAATATAATGCACTTCTTCCACATTTTCCTGAGGATTCTGGGAGCTGATAGAAGAAAAAAATATCCTGCAGGTTTACAAAGGACACCACAGTTTACTATTTAACCTAAACAATATTTACCTCATGCCAAGAATTCCCGAGATAGTTGCCATCTGTGTGAGCAACTGTAATGAGTGTCTTAATGGTATCAATGTTCTTCTGCTTCATTTCTGTAATGCTGGAACTGGCAGTCAACAAGGAAAATCGAGCAAGGGCCTGTACATAAGCATCTCGTTCAAGCTACGAGACAGAGAAACAGGCATCATCATCAGACCCTGAAGAAGCAGAGAAAGTAACTTGCCTACACAATTTTCCTTCCATGGATAGCTGGCACTATCAGAACACCTTTCAGTTAACGGAGAGCAGGATGCCAGTTAGCAAACGCTCTTAATAGAAGACTCAGCAAATAAAAAGGAAAGCAAAGTTGAAAAAAACTTGATTATATCAAGATCTTTTACCATTTCAAGAAAGCAGATGAGACAATTCATCTTCTAAATATAAGCTGGTTGTGATTCTTCAGCTGCCTCCCAGAACTCTTAGCAAGTCCCAGGCTAAGTCCGGTACCAACCTGCATTCCAAAGATACAGGCTATCCTAATGGCACAGCGTATTCCTTCCAAACACAGAGATGCAACCTCTGTGTCATCACAGTTCTGCAAGCCAACACTGTAAGCTGCCAGCAATGGAGTCCAGACGAGCTAAAGAGAGGAAGAAAGGAAGCTCAGAAGTCTGTTCCGATTTTAGCCCAAAACACTGGGTCACTGAAATCAAATACACCCAAAGAGTCCAGCTGTTGCATTACCAAGCTCTTCAGATAATTTTTCACTTTTTTTCCCATGCTTAAAGCTCCTGGTGACGAAGCTCCAGCGAGAACCTGGCACTCACTTTGAACATGGGCCTGACGTGGTCCAGGTGGGTGGCACTGGTGAAAGGTGCCTTGGCGTGGCTCACTGCCTCCATCAGGGCCTTGGCCGTCTTGGCCATCTGCTCCATCTCCAAGTTGTACAACAACCTCCGCTGCTTCTCGTTGGCCACACCTGAGGGGAACACCCAGTCATTCTGCCTCTAAAAATGGATAAAAAAACCTTCATCTTCTTAGTTTCCCGCCCCCAAAAACAAAACTAGCCCTCACCAACTTGAAAAATAAATTAATAACTTAGTGTTTCTTTATCCTTATACTAAAGGCTGCAATTTCAATTTTCAAGCAAATTAATTTTCTTCCTATTTTGATTCAGGACACTTGCAAACAGGTTCTTCTTACTTGGTTTGCTACACTTGGTTGTAATTGCGTATTCTTTTGTCTCTTTCATGGCGATTTTCTTTCCTTCTATTTCTTCATAGATTGTGGATAAATACTCTACTGGCAGGTCTTTACTGTCATTGATTCCTCGATTCATTTTAATGTATTGCTCCTTTGTCATTTTATTTTTTACCTGTAAAAAAGAATGGAAGTTGGATATCAGATTTTGAATGCGAGTTCCAGGGAGATTTGAACTTCTGGAAGTTTGGGCTTTTTAAATTTCTACCTGTGGACTGTGCAAGTCTGTAGTCAGCATTATAATGGAGTATGCCAAAACATAGGCAGTGTCAGCACTAGCAAATAGTGTTTGCCTGAGGGAGGAAAAAACAGAAGAGGTTTATAGAGTCTCAGTTCCTCAATCCATTCGCTCTAGTTCTACATGCAAGAAAAATACCCAGAAGTGCTCTGGATTCAACCACAGTGCTAACAAAGCCTGAAGCCAGCAGTTAGAAACACCTCAAGCCCCAAATGGTTTAAAATGCAAATAAAAGGAAAAAAAAAAAGCATCACCTCTACAATACTAAAAACTAGTGGTGACCAAGATTTTCAAGTACATTCCCTAAAGATTATACATTATCCTTCTTCGGGTAATCCCACAAAAGTTACAAAACAGGTTAATTTTCACTCCCAGTGTTTCCTAAAGAATGACAAAACCAACCCCGTGATGTACCACCTGGACTAAGGAATGGGAATCAATTAAGTCTGACATGGAGCTAAACTTCAGTGCTAGTTTATCACATCAGGAACAACAGCAACCTTGCCTATTTGGTATCAAATAACATATACCACACTTTGTTCCATATCTGACGGGCAAGCAAAAACACTGTAATGTCATATTAGCTGTTTATGTCATGAATTTTTAATTTTAGCAACTGCTTCTACTGTTTTTTATGCTTGACTGATCTACATCTGCTTAAAAATGGAACAGCTAATACAGAGACAATTTCACACATTTAGGGCTTCCCTCTGCCAGCAATTCCTTCTGGTAATCCTCTCCAGTAACAAGATTTAAGGAAATGCCAGGATCAATATACTTCCTATCCAAGGTTTCCATCTTGCCCAGCTGCTGAGGAGGTTCAGCACCGGGATCAGCAGCAAGATCTGCTCCTCACACGAGCTTAAGTTACCCCTTGTCACTAAGGGCCACCAAACAGCACAGCAGGGAATGCTCTTCAGGCATTTGCCCAACACAAAGGTGTGAATTACCGTTGGTTGCACTCAATGTATCTAGCAGCAAACTTCTCCATTAATCTGTCGATCTTCTGGGCTTCACCCGGCAGACGAAAACCTTCCAGGAATATCCGCAGAGCAGAGACAAAGTCTTTTCCACAGAAATCAAGCTGGTCTACGTAGGCATACATCACCTCCTTGTTAAACTTGTTGCTTTCCCCAAGAAATTCCCCTACTTGAGTCTAAAAACACAAGAGACAGTTGTTACTGTGCAATCCAACTGCCAGCTTTGCAAGAAGGTTTCTAGCCCAGGAGTTGCACAGCTCAGTTTTGTAAGGCTGGCACGCCTCACTGAGTGGGCAGAGCAGCCCTTGGAGGGGTGGCAAGAGACAGGGGCATTGGACATGCCCTCAGTCTGCACAGTCCTGCTTCCCTCACTTCCAAGGGCAAGATCTGCATTGCTGCAGAGCCAAAAGCTGAGCTGTGCCTGGGTTCACAAGCAGCAGAGAAGGCTTTGCCACTGCAGTACATGATACCTGTGTGCTGGGAGTGTGCTGCTAACACAGAGACAGATGAAATGCCCATTCCATTTATGGGGAACCCTCCAGCACTTCATTGTAACACAATACTTTACTAGAAAGCCTGGGACAGCAACCAACAGTCAGGAGCTCTGGCATTAAGTGTCTCCACGAGAAGCCTTGCACGTTCAGGCTCCGTTACTAAGACAGGCACTAAAGAGAAAGTGCACACAGACAGCAGGGGCAGGGGAGAAGGTACGAGGGGCAAGTGTGTTCATTATCTCATGCTGCAGCAATCTTACAGAACAGAGGCGTTCCTCTTGGTGCAAGAATTGTGCCAGGTCCTCAGCTGTAGTGCCAAGCATTCCCTGCTCCTGTAGATACTGTATTCCCCTCTTCGGTTTTTTATTAAACCTATTCGGACAAAAACATGGGGAAACTGAGACATACAATTAAAAATGTCACAGCCTATAGAGTTTCAGTTTTACAGAGCCCTTATAAACCAAAGCTTCTGTGCTGTAGCTCCATGTCTTTTTTTTCTAGTTAGAAAAGAAGTCAAAGAAAGTGCAACAAATCTATCACCTATATCCCACCATAGGCTCTATCTCTTAAGATACATTCAGTTGCTGACAACCTTTTAAGTTATTGCTGAAAAACTCATTTAAAAATGTCACTGGTCAAGACCTTTTTCTAGCATTTACAGACATGAAGATCTTCAAACTAATTTAAAAGAAGTAAAGCATAGCTGGACAATGATTTTCCAAACTCTATTTCAATAAAAGACAACAAATGGTGTAAGATCTGTAAGATAACCCTGCCCCTCAAACCAATTTGTCTCTAGGCATACACATTTCTGTGCAGCTGAGCCAGCAGAAAGGAAAGCTGTGAAAACACCTTCCACTCCATCCAAGATTTTATGGAATTCCTTTTAGCTACAACAGCCTCCAGCACTGGTTTTTGACCACAGCAGGCAAGAGTCCTCAGCACTAAGTTCAATTTGTAAGTGTCCCTACAGGTATGACTGTGTGAGACCATAAGAAACAATATGGTTGTACACATTTTTTTACTACTGAGCTTTAGCTTTCCTGTCATACTGGGCTTACAGTTCTATCCCATGTTCAATTATTTCCTTTTGTTGCTTGATGACTTCGAATTGCTCCGGGTCATCTGGGACAGCAGTCTGAGTACCGACACTTCCAACTCCTGAGGACACGGTGGAGTCCAAGGAACTGACACTACTCCGTCTCCCTCCACTCTCCAGGCATTTACCTTCAGCCATTTCCTGTTCAGATGGTTTGTATGAACCTGGTTATAAACAAGGCAAGATTTAAGTTTTCCTGTTCAGCCAAGAGCTGAATAGCTTCTAAACACTGAACAAACACAAGGACAAACTGATGAGACAAATTAGTCTCTCTATATGG